AACCGAAATCGATATTTTTTTCCACAGTTTCGACGTAAATACATTCGCAATCTTTATGGAAGTCTTTAACCCTCAAATGAACATAACTTGTGACTACGAAATTAATGGAAGAGTTTTACTGTTGCCACTTCAAGGAAAGGGCAAAAGCGAAATGACGCTTTGTAATTATCATATCATATTTTCATTTTATATGTATTTTCATATATCCAAATATAGCGCGGCTGCTTTTTCTTCACTTATCTAGCGACAAACACTCAATGCAATGTCGACAATCATCGATCCCGTATATTATTTTACAGATAACTCAACGATGACAGCTGATGCAGAATTCGAAAGGTATGAGAGACATGGAGAAAGTTATCTAAAGCTCAAGAAACTTGATTTTCACATCAAAGACACAGATCTGAAAGTATATTTCGAAAATCTCTTTGGCAAGGATTCAAATTTAGGTACGTTATGCAGCGATCTATATTATTCCTGTACATACAGCATAAAGTATGCCTGGCCTACATAACTAAAGTTATTTGTACGATATTCGCCTTTATGCGTAAATGTGAAGATTGAAAGTTGTATAAATATATTTTGCTTTTAGTATAGATAATAGTAGAAAGTATACATCTAGTGTCAACACAGAATTAAAGTTTTTTTCGGAACACAGCTGATTGTCCAATGAAAGAATTTTACTTCTAGAAATTAAAGAAAAATAAGTTTTTCTATTATACCATTGACTTTGTATCGAGCTACATCGAAAAAATGTGTTCAGACCGTTTGGAAATTGCATGTATTAGAGGGACCGGAAAGTAATGTCGCTTTCTTAAGTTAAATTCACACGACTACATTTTTAACAAGTTTTTATTTCTAATCAACAATATATTCACCTTCGTTATCAACAACCTTTTGCCATCTAGTATACAAATTTTCAATGCCGGAGCGGTAAAAATCAATCAAATCAAATATCGACATGCGCAGAAACGACATTACTTTCCGATCCCCCTAATATATGACGCAGTGTATACACAGACCGGCATTATAAGCGTAATATCTCTAGTAACACAATAGGAAAGCTATTAGAATTTCTTAATTTCTCGCATCATGTTGACATATTTGTGCGCACTGTTGCATATTATTCAAAGAAACGGCAATGATCCGAATTATTAATCAAAAATAGAAATGTAAAATATAAAATTATATTTACATGTTATATTTTGATGGCCGTGTAGATATTATTAAAGATGTTATATCGGTCTGTGTAATTCATATTCATATCAATGTACGGAGTCTTGTGTAATAATCCTTATTAACATAAATACCATTTATATTGCCAATATTATATACTACGCGATTTTCAACCGTATACATAATTCGTTCATCATAATTCCAATGTGTTGAAACATCCGTTCGAAAAACGTAACCAGTTTCTAGTTACAATATTCGTAGTTCAATGATATAGGTTTTGTTATCCTTAATTAATTTGTTTACAAATGGATTATAAAAGTGGGACAATTTTATGTTTATACTTTGTCCGTACTATTTATGTATTAATTGTTTCTACATTTTGTTGATTGCAGGTAAAGAGATGAACAGATTATTAAACGAAAACTCCAAAATAATCTTCAAAGAAATTAAACCGGCTTATGAAGAGATTTGTAAACAGTTTATCACTGAACTCGCGGATAAAATTTTTTACAACTTTCCATTAAAGAAACTCCTTCCACCCGTGTAGGCAATGACCAACTTTGTCGTCAC